TATTTCTGCAGTGCAAATTCAGCCCAGGACATGGAAGGGCAGCTATAAAGGAATTAGAGAATCCCCTGTAAAGATATATTATTGAATACTAAAGTTGAATAGTCCTTATCATTGTATTTCCCATTTCTATGTATGGTTATGAAAGCTGGACACTGAAGAAAGGTGATAGGAAGAAGATCAACTTATCTGAGATATGGTGCAGGAGAGGAGTGCTGCAGATACCAGTCTGCTAAAAAGAGAAATTAATGGATCCTAGAGCAAATCAAGCTTGAACTCTCCCTAGAAGCCAAGATGTCTAAACTGAGGCTGCTGTATGTTGGCCAGATCATGAGAAGACCTCATGTACTAGAAAAGACCATAATGCTTAGCAAAATAGAAGGCAGTAGGAAAAGAGGAAGACCTGCAGATAGATGGACTCAATCCAGGGAACCATGGCCCTGAGTCTGCAAGACCTGAGCAGAGTGGTTGGTTATAAGGTGACTTGAAGATCTCTCATTCATGGGGTCACCATAAGTCGCAGTCGACTTGATGGCAGTTAACAACAAGAAAGGGTCGTCCTAAATTGGAGTCAACCTGAAAGTACATAAAAGCAATAATAGCTACAAAGGATCAGATGCATCATTTTCAGTGACAGTTTCAATATAAAGGAGGAACCTGGAATATCTCTGAAGGTGTCAGGACCCCTCTCCTGTGACAACTGGGGCTGATGGCCTTGGAGAGGCTTTTCAGTCTCGCTCTTTTATAAAACAGCAACATCCCCTTAGTTTCAGCCTCCCTCCTCTCTTTCTGGTCAGCAACATTCCCTTTGATAAGTGGGATTTGTTGGCAGATAAACATAAACCTTAACCTGTTTGTGGACATTTTTGAAATGACTCCAGCTATGCGACTGCACCTGCTGCTTGTGATGATTTGACACATGCCTAGGAGGATGACATGGGGCTGCCCATACAGAGAAGTGGGTTCATGGTCCCTTTTCACCTGCTTCCAGAGAATGATGATTACATTAATTCCTGATGATTGTAACCGAACAGGAGGAGTCTCATTAGCTGAACTTAGTTCTTTTATGCGTGTTTATGTGCCTTCAAGTCTCCTGTCAATGTATGGCAACCGCATGAATTTCATCTATACACCACTGTTAAAAGAGGTCTCTGTTCCGCATGGTGTCTAGAAGGCCTAGGCTTACATGGCTTGGTATCATTAACCAGCAGCTAAGTAATCCATGGTGTAAAGGAGTAATATCCTTGGAGAGCCAGACACCTCTGAAGCTGAAACACTGGAAACCTTGAACCGCCCCCCCCCAAAAAAAACCCAGAAACAGCTGAATCCGAGAACTTTGAGTCCAAGACCTGTCAGCCAAGACCAACACTGGCGGCCACTGAAGGCTGTATAGGACAACACACCCTACTTTAAAAGCTCAGTTTCTGGAATCAAGGCACCAGCATCAACAGTATGCTCAGCATGAGAGGCAAAAGCAGCTTTAAGCTTAAGACCTATGCATTTAAGGCAGAGATGGGTAATTGGTGTCCAGAAGGTGGTTTTGGTTTCCTGGGACTATTGATGCTACAGAGACTAACAAAAATGCCCCAAAAGGAAAACATGGAAGCAGCAGGAAAACACTTGTCATTTTACAAAATGGTTATTTTAATATAAACAGTGCAAAGGGCCAGAAGACAATTTAAAAGGTGATTTGCTGCTCCTGGAAGCTTCTAGAAGTGACTGTTCACCTTTTGGGGGCCCAAAAAGTAGTATTCCAGGACGTCTGGAAAAGATAAGGGACCCCAAAAACAGCCCAGGGGGTTGAACTTTGCCCATTCTTGCAAATGACATTGCATTAAGATCATCTGAGGAAATCCTTCTTCATTTTCCACCTTTAGGAGAAGTGCATTATGCATGTAACCAAGTGCTGGTTATGACCTATAAAGACCTATGACTTATATCCAGACTATTTGACAGATCATATTTCCTCACATGAGCTTGCTTGGATCCTGAGATCCATAGGAGAGACCCTTTTCTCAGTCCTACTACCTTCATGGGTACAGTTGGTGAGGACACAAGAGAGAGCTTTCTCAGGGGCTGCCCCTAGACTTTGTAATTCCCTCCCTAGGGAGGCTAAAATGGCTTCCTCCTTGTTGTCCTTCTGTCAACAAGCAAGGTTTCAGAACTGAAGGCTTTAAGGAAAGGACTGTAAGAGCTGTATCGTTTTAACATGTAATGTTTTAACTTTTAAAAAGGATATAGTTTTTAATATGGTTAATAGTTTAATTCCATTTTAATATTGATTTTTTAATGTTTATAATTGTAATATTTTAAATGTGAGTCACCTTGTGACCCTATCTTGGGGAAAAGGAGGGAAATAAAATAAAATAGAACAAAATAACACACAACACAAAATACAGGGTCTTCTCTATGGTGACATCTTCCCTTCCAAGAGAGATGTGTTTGACACTATTCTTTTTGCTGCCAGGTTAAATATTGTTTGCCCTAGACAGTTTCAATTCATTTATTTTCAGGTGGTCACTAGTAATCCTTCCCAGTTTTGCTACACTGTTGTTTCATGTTTTGTGTTGTTTATAATGGTATATATGATCTCAGAGTTTATATACTTGTAATTGTTTCTCCATATGCATTTTCCTTTCTCTGGTATGTATTGCTACAAACAGGAAGGCTTATGTTACTATCTGAAAAATTTTCGTGAAAATATTTGCTGGTCCTGTGCAACATCGTATCTTTGGCAGATTATTTTAGTGTGGCGAATTTCTTCAACCATTACACCATTTTGCCTGACTCCTGCTGGTCATGTGGAGAGTTTCTTCACTCCTGAAGAAATCCATAACAAACATGGAAGAGCTCCACAAAGAATTCATGTACTTTGAATGTGACAGTGGGGTTCTTTAACTACTGTGGTGTGGATATGGCGGCACCATCCTTCAATTTAATTGCTATCAGTGAAACTGATCAATTGGTTGATTACATTTCTAGACGCAAGTACTCAAACTTGGGTCTACTTTGGTTGTTACTGGAGCCCTGAGACCCATTAACTGAGGCCTGGTAAAATGTGGGTTACAGAATTCTGAACAAAGGAATTTGTTTTGCCTACTAGAACTGAATGCAGCTCATGCAGTCCTTCCACCACCACCCCCCCAAATGGATTACCTCACGTTTTCATAAATTTCAAGAGTATAATGTAGGATGGGGGAGCAGTTTTGATGCTTTTTTATTGTTGTTGTGTGTCTTCAAGTCATTTGATACTGCTTTAACTGCTGTGGTTCCATGCTATGGAATTCTGAGATTTGTAGTTTGTTGTGGCACCAGAGCTCTCTGACACAGAAGGCGAAATAGCAATAGCATTTACATTTCTACACCACTTATCAGTGAACTCAGCACTCTCTAAGTGGTTTACAATTTGTAAGCCCTGGTGGCACAGTAGTTAAATGCTTGTATTGCAGCCACTCACTCACAGACCACAAGGTTGCGAGTTCAATACTAGCCAGGGCTCAGGCTTGACTCAGGCCTGAATCTTTCAGAGGTCGCTAAAATGAGTACTCAACTGTTGGGGGCAATGAGCTTATGGTTGTAAACCGCTTAGACATCCCATAGTGAGATATGAAGCCGTATATAAATGAAGCTGCTTTGCTTTTGCTTTGCTTTGCCCCCAACAAGTTGGGTACTCATTTTACTGACCTACAAAAGGATGGAAGGCTGAGTCAACCTTGGAGCCCTGGAATCAAATTCACATCCTTGTAGCTGCAGTACTTGCATTTAACCACTATGTCACCAAACTGTGTAGTCACAAAACTACAAATCCCTGAATTCCACAGAATGGAGCCATTACAGTTAAAGTGATGTCAAACTGCATTATTTCTGTACTGTATATGCAGCCATGGTGTAGTGGTTTGAGCATTGGACTACAACTCTGGAGACTAGGGTTTGAATCCAGTCCAGGAGTCCTGGAAAAGGAGGACCACCTCATGCTCAAAATGGAGGTCATTTTGGAACCCCTCCTGGACAGAAGGCTGACATGGAAGACACAGGTCCTGGATAAGGAGGCCTACACCCTGCTCAGCCATTAAAACCCACTGAGTGACCCTGGGCAAGTCACACACTGTCAGCCGCAGTAAACCTGTGATAGGTTCACTTTAGGATTACCACAAACCAATAAGTACTTGGAGGCACACAACAACATGTGGTAACAGACTCTTCATTGCCCAAAGTTCCTCCATGGTTTCAGTCTTATGAGCCACCTGGCCCATTGCTTGTGAGAAAGTCATGTTGGCTTGGGGACTTTGGGAGGAGTTAAAAGTAACTTCCCCACATTTTGCTTTTAGGCACAAGATCTAATCCACATGTGGCATTCACAGGTGAAGCCAGTAGATTTGCCTGTACTCCTCCCGCCCTGCAGCACTTGTACAGTAATTTAAGCTGTAAATGTTAAAATATCTAGATAGGACCCTTCAGTGGAAATACTCCTGCCAAACAATCTTAGCTGTGTATATTTCCTTAGAATAAACTCTACTACAGTATATTCGGTTTGCTGTTATTTGCTAACAGTGCAAATGCAGCCTTTGTTAAGAAAAAAAAAAAGAGTGGAAAGCCTAGCCTAAAATACTGGTCTTAAAAAGATATGCACTGGGGATCCACCAGTGGGTTGTACTGTGATCCAGCAATGGCTCATGATTTTTTGGGATGATGAGGGAGCTTGGGATCTTCATCTGGAAAACCCTCTTTCTTATCCCTCCTCTCACAGTTGCCCACTACTTACCTTTTCCTTCTGGACCCAATCAATCCATAGTAATGCTCCAAAAGAGAGGTCAGGGAAAGAGGAGGCTGTGTTCCTCCGCCTCATTCTTGTTACTGTCTCCTTGTGTGTAGAAGGGGAGAGGATAATGTGAAACCACAAGGAAGAGGAAGACATGGGATTCAGCTGATGGATTTCCCTGCTTGTGATTTCCCACCAGACCATCCTCTGAAGATCCTGCAATGGGAGATTTTTTTTGGGGGGGGGCAGTGTGGTGTAGTGGTTTGAATGTTGAACTATGACTCTTGGGATCAGGGTTTGATTCTCAGCTTAGCCATGAAACCCATTGGGTGACCTTGGGCCAGTCACACTCTCTCAGCCTCAGGGGAAGGCAATGGCAAACCTACTCTGAATCAATCTTGCCAAGAAAACCCCATGATAGGTTCACCACAGGATCGCCCTAAACCAGAAACAACTTGAAGGCACACAACCACAACAAACTGTTAAGGCAGATTGACCAGATGTCCTAACTGCAAAGGACAAGGCTCTGCAAAATGTAGGATGCTCATGAAAAATGTAGGACAAGTCCCAATAAAAGCAGAAAGCACTCCTAAAAATGTAAACCCAGGCTTCTTACCCATACTCAAAATAGAACACATTTTGAAAGTCTTCCTGGACAGAAGGTTGAAATGGAGGAGATGTCAGGGAAAAGGAGGACGTCTGGTCATCCTGAGCCCATGGTGACCAGGTGTCCTATTCACACAGGAGGACAAGGTACGGCAAAATGTAGGCCTTTCAAGAAAAAATGGAGGACATGATCAATGAAAGCTCAAAATACTCATATATAAATATAAATTAATGCTTCTTAGCCATGCTCAAAATGGAGGACATTTTGGAACCCCTCCTGGACAGAAGGCTGACATGGAAGACACAGGTCCTGGAAAAGGAGGACCACCTCATGCTCAAAATGGAGGACATTTTGGAACCCCTCCTGGACAAAAGGCTGACATGGAAGACACAGGTCCTGGAAAAGGAGGACCACCTCATGCTCAAAATGGAGGACGTTTTGGAACCCCTCCTGGACAGAAGACTGACATGGAAGACACAGGTCCTGGAAAAGGAGGACCACCTCATGCTCAAAATGGAGCATATTTTGGAACTACAGGGCAGAAGCCTGAAAAGGAGGACAGGTCCTGGGAAAGGAGGACCAACCCTGGTCACCCTCAAAATGGAGGACATTTTGGAACTCCTCTTGGACAGAAGCCTGAAAAATGGAGGACAGGTCCTGGAAAAGGAGGAAGAGGCCTGGTTCCCCCTGGCCCCTCCCTCCCTGGCTGAGGCGGGGTATTTAACTTCCCTCACAAGAGGGGCTCTTCTTGGAGCGCTTCCATAGCGGGAGCGTCGTGGTGTGTGAGAGAGAGGTGCGGACTGAGGCGAGAGATAGAAGAGGAGGAAGAAGAAGAAGAAGAAGAAGGAGAGGCGGAGGAGCGGCCTAGAGTTGTTGCTAAGCTAACCGAGCTGTGGCGGCTTCTAACCTGGGAGCCAGGGAGGGAGTGAGAGAGTGAGGGAAAGGGCCATTCATCGAGGCTCGCCTCGGCGGTTGGGACAGTCCCTCAAACCGCCAAGAGGAGGCGGAGCGGCCTCCTCCCCGCCATGAGTGCGCAGGCGCGGGGCCAGGCTGCTCTCAGCGGCGGCAGCGGCACTGAGGAGAGGAGAAGCCCCGGCTTGAGGCAGAAGGAGAAGGCGAAGGCGAAGGCGAAGGAAGCGGAGGCGCCCCCGTGTCCCGCAGGGTCTGAGGTGCCCGCCATCATGCCTGTGACGGAGAAGGACCTTGCGGAGGACGCTCCCTGGAAGCGCATCCAGCAGAACACCTTCACCCGCTGGTGCAACGAGCACCTCCGCGTCGTCAACAAGCGGATCGGGAACCTGCAGTTCGACCTGAGCGACGGCCTGCGCCTCATCGCCCTCCTGGAGGTCCTCAGCCAGAAGCGCATGTACCGCAAGTACCACCAGAGACCCACCTTCCGGCAGATGCAGCTGGAGAACGTCTCCGTCGCCCTCGAGTTCCTCGACAGGGAGAGCATCAAGCTCGTCTCCATCGGTCAGCAGCAGCAGCAGCAGCGGGGACAAGGGGGACCCAGAGGGCCCAAAGGGACCCAAAGGGACCGGCCTCCCTCCCTCTCTTTCTCTCTCTTTCTTTCTTTGGGGTGGTGTCTCCAGGGACGCCCTACTTGCCCAA